AAATTGTTGGTGCTGGAGAATGTGTGAACTCTCGCATTGAAAACATCGAGCTTCTTGTCGATTCATCAGATCTATCAGGACTAGAAGGAGCATCCAGAAAATGCCTGGGTGGACCAGTTGAACTTGAATGACCATTTTTGAGTGATGTCATTGATGACGAAGCAGGACCAGTGCCGGAAACCAGGGCAGGAAATTTTTTTGAATGGTGTTAAGAAGTTTGCACTTGGTTGGATTGATATTTCATCTGCTACGTTTGAGAGTTGTGAGGCGATTTTGGGAGTTAAGGACTTTGTACTTTCAATGATTGCACTATCCATTGAAAGATTGATTTCTTGTTCGTCTTTTTTAATTGCGGACGAAGAAATTGTCGATAAGATGTATGTATGAGGCTTATTTGCTGAAATCTCTATCATCTTTGGACGTTTCAAATTTGAAACATTCGTATAGGATCTGAGGAAGACGTACAACATTATATACCGAAATATGCGGCAGCAAAATATAGAACATTGATCCATAAATTTACTTTCTCTTTTTAATGTGGTCATTCAGAAATGACATATTTTCATAATATGTGAAAATACTACGCTAACTTACTCCACTGCCACTCCTTGAATCCAACTCTCTTTGACGTTTCTCTTTCCCGAATTTTTCACGGAGCCTTACCCATCGGATTTGACAATCAGAAACTGTAAAAAAATGTATTCTCTTATTAATAAATGTTCAAAATTGAATCATTAAAATGTCGTTTCTAAATTTCGCCGTTATATTAAAACGATTGCCTCAGAAAATAAATGTCGCGTACGCAGTAGGCTTCCTCGTCTCATATTCGGTCCGAATTGTCTCGCATAATATCGCATTCATATTCTCGCGGCGAGCAATTTGGTCACATCTCAATTCGTGTTCTTTCATTATTTAGTGCTCAGATATTGTGAAAGTTAATTAAAATTGTTTGGAGTTTGAGAGTCGACGCTCGTTATCCGCATCGCGAATGTCCTCTGCCTCGCGCTAAATTCCATCCAGCGTTCGCGGTCAAGATTTCCGTTTTTAAATAATGAAACAAATAGAAGAGCTAGAGAATCTAAGTGTATATTATAATAATTACCAGTACAATGTATATTATTAATTATAGTATATATTATAATATAATTATCGTTTAATAATAATGCATTTATTTATCTGGAATGTTTACTGCTAAGGCTATCTCTTTCCACGAATTTTCTTTCATCAAATGGTCTTTAAAATAAGGATCTTTGTGGTTATAAAGGTGTGGGTATGCTCTCACCGCATCAATAAGCAGTTCATCACTTTGTAACGCGGTCACCTCGCTCGACGCACGGATCGGCTCGTCGGTGTCCGGGTTCGAGAGGAGGGGAGACTCAAGCTTGCGTGAACACAGGTTGTGCAGAAAAGATAGTTTATTCAGACAAAGAGAAATATATACAGAGTAGCGTGCAGGGCCAGGCGATGTCGGTCAGCCTGCGTGGAGTGGCGGGCTGGTAGCAGGGCCCGGGGCGTAAAGCGGCCGGTGCAAAGCGGCAGACGGCGAGAAGCGTAAAGCGGGCACGGCTTAATCTCTACGAGGGTTTTATTTACATGCGGGCTTATTACTAGCGGACTGACGCGGTTATAACGAGCGGACTTATTATTAGCAGGCTTAACGAGCGGACTTATAGCTAACGGCTTATGGCTAGCATGCTTATGGCTACGGCGCGATTAGCACGAGCGGACTTATAATTAACCGACTTATTACGAACAGGCTTATGGCTACGGCGCGATTAGAATGAGCGCACTTATGATTAACCGACTTATTACTAGCAGGCTTATGGCTACGGCGCGGTATTTACATGCACTTAAAAGCTAGGTGTAGGTTAGGCGGCTGGGTATTGCCGGCAGGCCCGAGTGTCACGTCGTGCGCCGGAGGCAACGGAGACCGGAGAAACCTGGCGGAGCTGAGAAAACTTCAGCCTGGGCTGGTACTAGGAACCGGAGAAAGCCGGTAGGGCCAAGAGAAACTTTGGCCCGTAAGGTAGCGAGAGCCAGAGAAACCTGGCAGAGCTAAGATAATCCTTAGCCCTCAGAGGTAGCTGGTTAGATCGGTGTCAGGAGTGCGCAATGCGTTCTGCGCATTACATATACATGGTTCACGCTTGTGTGCGTATCCCCTCTACACGCTGTAGCATGCTGCATAGTCCCGAATCTGGCATCACTGGTTTCGATGTCTCGTCCGGCCGGGCTTATATACCCAGCCGGCGTCTCCCACTGTGCGCCATCGGTCCGGCGGTGGGGGCCGGTATCGCGTGGGGGCACCGCGATAGAGATAGCGCGTGCGGCAAGTGAGATAGCGGGATAGGTGAGGCGGGGTGTAATAAGCCATGCGTGTTTCTCTATATATTATATTTACATATATACAACGGTGACGGTCCTGCCGTCACAACTTTCTTTAACACTTTCACTCTCAAGGAGTATTTCATTTGCAAAGTTATCAATCATATTACAATACTGATCGTAATCACTCGTTTCTCTATGACAAATACTGTGAACACATAACATGACTAGGTTGGTGTTATTAAAGCGCCTACCCCATGATGATTTGTGATTGGTTGCCCAGAAGACATATACCATAAGAATTTCATCCTTACAGTATTTTTCAACGTTATGTTTTAAAGCTTATGGACAAAAGTGGAGGGGTTACGAAGAGCCCAATACTCGATTGGGATTGGTCGACTTCCTTACGCTTACGTCTTACATTCTTATGGAATTTTGTGTGTGATGGCCTTAATGTCCCAAGTAGCAAAGTGACGTCAGAAGACGACATAATGACGTCTACTTTTAGTCATTTATGGTCTATGACGTCGGCGGCTAATAACGTTTGTAAGACGTCATTTCTGAGACCAGCTAAAGACATTGTTCAAGAGTCGACCTCGACGAGATCACCCGAATCTTAGAAACGCTCAGAGATGAGCGAGAAGCTGTGTGTAATGCGAATCCGTAAATTCGCTGGAGGACAAGGAGATTTTAGAAAAGACTCAAGTGCAGATTGTTGTAACTATTCTTTTTATTTTGAACAATAAGAGCGAGCGACGGCACGTATTCCGCGTTTCCGACGGAAATCTTCAAATTGTCCTGTTAATTACTGTCCTCTTTTGCGGTTCGGAAATCTTGATGAAGAGCTTCTTGCTAGAAACTCTCGCAAGAACGGAAATCTTGCACGCGGACGCCGGATGGAATTTAGCGCGAGGCAAAGGACATTCGCGTTGCGGATAACGAGCGTCGACTCTCGGACTCCAAACAATTTGCGTTCACAATGTCTTAGCACTAAAGGAGTAAATAATACAGTGTTAGATTTTCCCGAATTGATCGCCGCGAGAAGATGAACGCGATCGGATGCGAGACAATTCGGAGCGATGTTGAGACGAGTAAGTCTACTGAGTACGCGACACGAGCGAGCATCAGCTAAATGCGAATGAGAAAGATCGATGAGTTTCGACCGTGCTCGAATCGTTGTCGTAGGCAGACTAAATCGACCGACCGCGGAAACTCGCGTTCTGCCGATGGGAATAACAAGGTTTTTCGACGTCGAACCTTCGAGAGCTAGCTGTTTGTCACAGTTTTTCATTTCGATTATCACGCGATCACGCGCCGATCGGCTGATCGACGGTGTTTTTCCTCGCTCGTGTTTTGATGTCGTCTCTTTGTCGTTTGAATTTGTCGACGAAACTTGCCGCTGAATTCGATCAATTAGATTCAACGTTTCGATTTTGAACAGACGTCATTTTGAAGACGTTTTAAAGTCGTCCAAATAAAGTCTTTTTGTAACATAACTATTTTTACTTTAAAATATTATATAATTACAGACTAATAATAAAATAAAAACCACAAAATTAACTATAATGTGTTGTTTTGCAACTTATGATTGAAACGGTGAATTTCTGGTAATGGATAGTAAGCCTCAAGCCATAAGAAATTGATCAATCACAATCAAATGTGAAGATAATAATCAATTGTTATTGCTAATTTCTTTACGGCTTAGAGACTTAGAAGGATTACTACACCTATTTTGTAGATTCGGCCTTACATAGTAGTTGACGTATTCACATCTGCGCACAAAGTGTTGCGCAGATTTATTCCTCACTCTTGCATCATACTAACACTAGCCCAAGATTCGGTTACATGTGGTTATGTGTAGTTGCGTGTGATTAACGGTTACGTGCGTTACAGTTTTTATCCGGCAGTGATATAATTTATACAAGTAATTCAAATAACTTTTCATTGTAGAATTTATATATATAGATATTATTGAAATCAGTTTAAAACTAATTTTGTTGTGTTTTAATAACCTACATTTATTTATTTTATCCTCTTAAAACAAAAATAAGAAAATTTAAACTAGATTACAGGATGTAACAATGAATGCGGTCACATCTGCATGCATTTTATAAGTTTCTTTTTTATAAAAAAGATTAATCTTGTAGGATGTGGGTAGGTACGGGATAGGAGATCTATCGCTTTAGGATACTACCCAATTTATCTTACTTGTAGGTAGATAAATGAATGAGTCGGTTTTTAAACATAAAGTATATTTATTCTTACTCCTACATCAATAGCGCAAATTGCGATTGCACGCATAATTGTTATTGTTATTATTTCTGTACATGGGTTTGTATTTGACCCCGCGTCTCTTCGTCCGGGTTGAGGCGTCGGCCGTTCTCTTCAGACCAGGGAACTGGACGGGACTGGTCTGAGTTCCGCAATGTCTCCTCATAAGGGGTTCCCTTATCGGCGAGATTTTGATGGGCGAAATCAGTGATGGTAGTTTCCACGTCTTCGCTGGGGACGCCAAGATCCGCTCCAGTCGTGGCAAGGAGATAGGCCGGTCCTTCCTTCGCTGGTTGCTCTCCGCGTGGGAGTTGCTGGGTGACTAAGCGCCGGAGCGTGCGTTCTCCTTGGAATGGCCACTGAATGGTGGCCAGAGGCCGGAGATCACCGGCGAATCAGCACCGATGGGCGACAGCGACCCGTCACTTACCGTGATCGGGGAGCAGGTACCAGCGATCGTCGGGGAGCAGGTCCCAGTAGAAAATGGCGACCGGGCGTCTGATGATGGCGGACGAGCGCCGGAGGCTGTTGGCGATCGGGCGCCTAATGCCGATGGCGGACGAGCGCCGGAGGACGTCGGCGACCTGGCGCCTGATGATGGCGGACGAGCGCCGGAGGCTGATGGCGATCGGGCGCCTAATGCCGATGGCGGCCGGGCGCCGGAGGACGTCGGCGACCTGGCGCCTGATGATGGCGGACGAGCGCCGGAGGCTGATGGCGATCGGGCGCCTAATGCCGATGGCGGCCGGGCGCCGGAGGACGTCGGCGACCTGGCGCCTGATGATGGCGGACGAGCGCCGGAGGCTGATGGCGATCGGGCGCCTAATGCCGATGGCGGCCGGGCGCCGGAGGACGTCGGCGACCTGGCGCCTGATGATGGCGGACGAGCGCCGGAGGCTGATGGCGATCGGGCGCCTAATGCCGATGGCGGCCGGGCGCCGGAGGACGTCGGCGACCTGGCGCCTGATGATGGCGGACGAGCGCCGGAGGCTGATGGCGATCGGGCGCCTAATGCCGATGGCGGCCGGGCGCCGGAGGACGTCGGCGACCTGGCGCCTGATGATGGCGGACGAGCGCCGGAGGCTGATGGCGATCGGGCGCCTAATGCCGATGGCGGCCGGGCGCCGGAGGACGTCGGCGACCTGGCGCCTGATGATGGCGGACGAGCGCCGGAGGCTGATGGCGATCGGGCGCCTAATGCCGATGGCGGCCGGGCGCCGGAGGACGTCGGCGACCTGGCGCCTGATGATGGCGGACGAGCGCCGGAGGCTGATGGCGATCGGGCGCCTAATGCCGATGGCGGCCGGGCGCCGGAGGACGTCGGCGACCTGGCGCCTGATGATGGCGGACGAGCGCCGGAGGCTGATGGCGATCGGGCGCCTAATGCCGATGGCGGCCGGGCGCCGGAGGACGTCGGCGACCTGGCGCCTGATGATGGCGGACGAGCGCCGGAGGCTGATGGCGATCGGGCGCCTAATGCCGATGGCGGCCGGGCGCCGGAGGACGTCGGCGACCTGGCGCCTGATGATGGCGGACGAGCGCCGGAGGCTGATGGCGATCGGGCGCCTAATGCCGATGGCGGCCGGGCGCCGGAGGACGTCGGCGACCTGGCGCCTGATGATGGCGGACGAGCGCCGGAGGCTGATGGCGATCGGGCGCCTAATGCCGATGGCGGCCGGGCGCCGGAGGACGTCGGCGACCTGGCGCCTGATGATGGCGGACGAGCGCCGGAGGCTGATGGCGATCGGGCGCCTAATGCCGATGGCGGCCGGGCGCCGGAGGACGTCGGCGACCTGGCGCCTGATGATGGCGGACGAGCGCCGGAGGCTGATGGCGATCGGGCGCCTAATGCCGATGGCGGCCGGGCGCCGGAGGACGTCGGCGACCTGGCGCCTGATGATGGCGGACGAGCGCCGGAGGCTGATGGCGATCGGGCGCCTAATGCCGATGGCGGCCGGGCGCCGGAGGACGTCGGCGACCTGGCGCCTGATGATGGCGGACGAGCGCCGGAGGCTGATGGCGATCGGGCGCCTAATGCCGATGGCGGCCGGGCGCCGGAGGACGTCGGCGACCTGGCGCCTGATGATGGCGGACGAGCGCCGGAGGCTGATGGCGATCGGGCGCCTAATGCCGATGGCGGCCGGGCGCCGGAGGACGTCGGCGACCTGGCGCCTGATGATGGCGGACGAGCGCCGGAGGCTGATGGCGATCGGGCGCCTAATGCCGATGGCGGCCGGGCGCCGGAGGACGTCGGCGACCTGGCGCCTGATGATGGCGGACGAGCGCCGGAGGCTGATGGCGATCGGGCGCCTAATGCCGATGGCGGCCGGGCGCCGGAGGACGTCGGCGACCTGGCGCCTGATGATGGCGGACGAGCGCCGGAGGCTGATGGCGATCGGGCGCCTAATGCCGATGGCGGCCGGGCGCCGGAGGACGTCGGCGACCTGGCGCCTGATGATGGCGGACGAGCGCCGGAGGCTGATGGCGATCGGGCGCCTAATGCCGATGGCGGCCGGGCGCCGGAGGACGTCGGCGACCTGGCGCCTGATGATGGCGGACGAGCGCCGGAGGCTGATGGCGATCGGGCGCCTAATGCCGATGGCGGCCGGGCGCCGGAGGACGTCGGCGACCTGGCGCCTGATGATGGCGGACGAGCGCCGGAGGCTGATGGCGATCGGGCGCCTAATGCCGATGGCGGCCGGGCGCCGGAGGACGTCGGCGACCTGGCGCCTGATGATGGCGGACGAGCGCCGGAGGCTGATGGCGATCGGGCGCCTAATGCCGATGGCGGCCGGGCGCCGGAGGACGTCGGCGACCTGGCGCCTGATGATGGCGGACGAGCGCCGGAGGCTGATGGCGATCGGGCGCCTAATGCCGATGGCGGCCGGGCGCCGGAGGACGTCGGCGACCTGGCGCCTGATGATGGCGGACGAGCGCCGGAGGCTGATGGCGATCGGGCGCCTAATGCCGATGGCGGCCGGGCGCCGGAGGACGTCGGCGACCTGGCGCCTGATGATGGCGGACGAGCGCCGGAGGCTGATGGCGATCGGGCGCCTAATGCCGATGGCGGCCGGGCGCCGGAGGACGTCGGCGACCTGGCGCCTGATGATGGCGGACGAGCGCCGGAGGCTGATGGCGATCGGGCGCCTAATGCCGATGGCGGCCGGGCGCCGGAGGACGTCGGCGACCTGGCGCCTGATGATGGCGGACGAGCGCCGGAGGCTGATGGCGATCGGGCGCCTAATGCCGATGGCGGCCGGGCGCCGGAGGACGTCGGCGACCTGGCGCCTGATGATGGCGGACGAGCGCCGGAGGCTGATGGCGATCGGGCGCCTAATGCCGATGGCGGCCGGGCGCCGGAGGACGTCGGCGACCTGGCGCCTGATGATGGCGGACGAGCGCCGGAGGCTGATGGCGATCGGGCGCCTAATGCCGATGGCGGCCGGGCGCCGGAGGACGTCGGCGACCTGGCGCCTGATGATGGCGGACGAGCGCCGGAGGCTGTTGGCGATCGGGTGCCTAATGCCGATGGCGGCAGGGCGCCGGAGGCGGTTGGCGATTGGGCGCCTAATGCCGATGGCGGCCGGGCGCCGGAAGACGTTGGCGGCCTTGCGCCTGATGATGGCGGACGAGCGCCGGAGGCTGATGGCGATCGGGCGCCTGATGATGGCGGACGAGCGCCGGAGAGCCGCCATCGGCATTAGGCGCCCGATCGGGAGCTGCTTATCCTTAGCGTGCTCTCCTCCACCTTCCTTCTCTTGATCACCCTGTGGAGTGACGTTGGGCGAGTCCTTCGCCGGAGGGCGATTTCGGCTACCGTGGGTAGCGTGGCGGTATCTTTTATCCGTGGCGTCTTGAATGATGGTGCGGCGACTGGCGCCGTATCGTTCACCAACGTTTTTAAAGCGACTTGCGCTAGAAAGTAGGCGACTTGCGCCAAGAACTTTCTTCGTGCTTTCTCCGCAGGGGGTCTGACCTATATTCTGGCCGGACGGCTTTCCACTTGCAGGTTGGCCCGGGCGCCTTGCGCCGCCTAACGGTGCTGCCCGCAACTACGCGAGGATTACAATACTTTTTATACTAATTAATACGAGCAGTTTGACATCATTATGTCTTATGTAGTAAATGAATTTGATGATGGAGGTGGTGTTGCAGTTGTAAGAAATACTTGGTTAACTCTTCGAAAAAGAGTTTTTTGGCCACCTACGAAAAATCAAAAAACATTTGACAAAGTTTTACAAAAAACTATACATGCAGATACTGAAAAATGGAAACTTTATCCAATACTGAGATGTTTATTTGAAACTGGTGAGCATAAGAAAAGTAAAATTTTGCTAATTATTTATAGAAATAAAGAAATATTAATGACGCTTCATATTTTGTTTATAAATCTAAAATTAAAAAGAAATTTATAATTTAAAATAATTCCAAATATTGCTATAATTTCTGTAATATTAATAAATATTTAATAATATAATATTAAAAGGAGAACCGATTTTTATAATATTTTTGGTTATAAGTCAATAAATAAAATCGTTTTGCATACTATGACTGCGTTTCGATATTCACAGTCAGTACTAAAAATGTATAGTATACGTGACGTAAACTATAGATTTTCAGTACTGGCAGTGAATATTGGAACACAGCCTATGTATTACTCACTTATTATTTACTACTTTTATATTATTTATTTTTCATGCTCAATTAAAATTGATATTCAGTTAAAAAAAGAATATGAATGGGAAAATATTTTTATAATATTTAAGATTTTTCAGCTTTTCTAACTTCTGAAACTAAAAATTATGTATTTTACTAAAAATTTATTATTTACTATTTTCATGATCTGTATTATAAGAAGCAAATTTGTGTGTGTAACAATTTGTAATCATTTTCTATATCATAAGTTAATTTAGTTTGAATGCTATATATATTTGATTAACGGAATTAATCCGTAATTAGATGATTTACAAAAAGCTCAACAAAAATGCAAATTGTCAGAAGACACATCTGATTTACAAACAGATAATCAGGAGGTCAATACTTTTAAAAGAAAAATAATAGTACCCCATCGGTTTATATCAAGCGATGAGGAAGGAAATGATAACATCCATGTTTGGCCTCCAAAATTAAAAAAGGCTTTTAAGGGGATCCAAAAGCGACGAGCGAACTCCGATGGGTTACCGCCCTCATCTAAACAGAACTAAAATTGTCGGTATTACCAACACAATTATTGATAATACCGACAATTTTGGTTCTGCCGTTACCGATACTAATATCACAAAGGTAAAGAAAATAAGCCAAGTACATATCTAAAAAATAATTAATAAAATATGTTTCCTAAATAATAAGAAATAAAAACTAAATATGAAATCAATAGTTAACTAGCCAAGTACTTAGAAGCAATTCAGTTTGTGAGAATTTGTAATTTGAAATAGTATTTGTCATAAAATCAAATTTGTATTTATAGAAATGTTATACACAAATTCTCTGCATAAAATTAAAACGCATTATATTTTTATTAAGAGAAACCTGAGTTTCAAAATAAGTTCAATAGAAATAAGAAAATATAAAAAAATTTTAATTAAAAAAACTTGGCGCTGCTAACTTTTAAAGTATATATTAAAACCAACAAACAATAAATTTAATTTAGATCTAAATTTAATTTAGAATTATATTTAATTTAGTTATATCACAATAACTGCAATGTGAATGTATTAAAGAATACACTAATTTTAGCATGTTTAGTTCAGCAGCGCCAAGTTTTTTTAATAAAAATTTTGGTAAAAGTGACGTTTAGGGGATGCAGCCCCGATGATCTTGACCTTGACATATGTTGTCAAGGTCACCCTCCTGGGTGACCTTCAGAAGGTTTTACCCGTCGCCAGTTTTTTATTAAAAAGTTATTAACTAAAATATTATTTATTGAATGTGTGTAAGTTCAATAGAAATAAGAAAATATAAATAAATTTTAATTAAAAAAACTTGGCGCTGCTAACTTTTAAAGTATATATTAAAACCAACAAACAATAAATTTAATTTAGATCTAAATTTAAGAAGTGAGGTTCCATATGGGTTTACAACTTTCCACGCGAAGTGAGGTTCAACGCAAACCAATGTGTCTAGTTCTTTGATAATGGAGCCCCCCGTAGGGGGGGGGGGGGCGGAACATACTGTATCCACGCATATACTTTTAATGCAAAGTAAGGTTCGACATATCCCCCCCTACGGGAATGGCTCCACTATCGAAGAACTAGACACATTGGTTTGCGTTGAACCTCGCTTTGCGTGGAAAGTTGTAAACCCATGTGGAACCTCACTTCGCATTACAAAGTGTATTTATAAAACAGTGGGTTCTGCCCCCCTACGAGGGGGGCTCCACTTCCGGAAGAAATAACCTAACCCAAACCTATTTCTAATTTAATTTCTCTCTAAAATATAAGCTTGGTAATTCATACCGAAATGTACTATATACAGTCTTATGTCGAAAGTATCGGACGGTTACTATCTTCAATTGTTAATAACTTTGTAATAAACAACGAAGACCCCACGGGAAGGCTGCACTTCCAGAAAATATAACTTAACCCAAATCTTTCAGTTTTAAAAGTAAAGTTGGATTATTTTTTATTATCAGAGTACGTACAAACCATGTGTGCGATAAAGAAGTGGACGTGGGCGAGAGGAGCCCTGCGAGATCGAGGTGCAATCGAGACAGACAACCGACAGAGAAAAGACGAGCGACTTGACGACACTGTTTGTTGGCTTAAAATGGACAGACTGTATTTCAATAAATAAATAGTTTACAAATGTTTTGGCGATAAGATTTCTTCTAATCTTAATCGATTCCTCGCTCCGGCGAGCGACCGGGAGCGTGGCGATAGTCTCCACGAGCGACGGATATATTGCGAATACCGCAAGCGACGGTAAAACGGCGCGATTCAGCGAGCGACGGAATAAACGGCGCGTTTGAATTGCGAGAGATTAATTGCGAGCGACGAGAAATCTCTTTTATTCGAATCGGAAACTTCGCGTTTCGTAAGCGAGAGTACGAATTAGAAAAGCGAGCGACTTTTCTTTCGCGAGAGTTTAACGATATATTCACACACTGTCTCGGATAAATCTCGATCGAGTGCGCCCGGCGGTTCCCCGAGAGAGCTTATATACAACCGTTCTTTTGCTGATTCTAGAACATCCTATGTGTTTTTCGCGAAAGATCGAGCCTGCTATTGTTTGCGATGATTAGGAAAAATAGAACGTTGTTATTCGCATTTGTTTTTAGTACTGACCGTGGTTGTTTATAATTAGTTCGATTTCGAACACCTTGATTTTTACAAATCTTTGTTTGTTAATAATTTTTCAATAAACAACGAGCGACGGCTAAAACCTTCTGAAGGTCACTCAGGAGGGTGACCTTGACAACATATGTCAAGGTCAAGGTCATCGGGGCTGCATCCCCTAAACGTCACTTTTACCATCTTTTAATAATTTTCGCGATCGTGTATAACGACACATGGAGCTGTTGCCTACTCGCTGTCACTGTATGAATGACAACAAAGAGACATTCCATACACGTATAATGGCGCTATATATGCCGCATACCGACACGCATCTTTGTTTACTTATTTGGCGGTATGATCATGTGGTGTAATGGGGTGTACACATACACGTACTCGCTTTCTCTCTCTCTCCCGCTTTCTCTCTCTCTCTCCCGCTCTCCCTCTCTCTCCCGCTGTCTCTCTCTCTTTCCCGCTCTCCCTCTCTCTCTCTTTGTCTCTTTCTCTTATTTATTATAAATTTTTAAAATTATAATTTTATAAAAGAGTAATACACGAAAGAATAATCGTACATGAGCCTATTCGGCTAATTATTTGTTTTGCTGCTTCTTCTTTAGCTTCTGTTATATATTTTGGATCTCTGATTGGCATATGTCTAATATGGCGACTATCCAATATTTCTGGAAGCATGCATTTGTAGTAGAAGCGTGTTAGAAAAGGTAGCATTTGATTTTTCCAGAATTCATTGTCTGTACTAATATGCAATATTTTTATGCTTTTTGGCGTCCAAACAGCAAAAATGCAATATTCTCGCTTTGTTATATTCAATTGACCTTGAACTTGGTAAAAATATCGGTGATTCCGATTCATTTTATGTGGATTTTTTTTATCAAAGATGCCTTTCAAAGAAGGCAATGTCTCTATGCAAAGAAGGCATGGCTTCTTCTGCTGTCGAATGTTCAGCCGACAGAGGACATTTGATTTCCACAAGACCATTTTCCTCAATTAGTCCGTCTAGTCCGTCACCCAATTGTCAGGACAAGCATTTTCATTATCAATGAACAATCTGCAAAGTTTTATTGCTTTATTTAATTTCATGGCCAATTCTTTCCTCGCTACATTTTCATTATCGCGACCATATTTCATGGCTGCGGTATCAATAGACGGAGGATATAAAATGTTTTTTACAGTCAATGCGCAAGACGTTGTCGGTCTCATGCGACATACGGTTCCAAAATTGGATGCCGTCAACATTTCACGTCTCAATGATAACCATAATACGGACTCATTTTGGTTTCTAGTCTCAAGTTCTATTTCTTGCCAATTTACCCCATTTTCGAACAACTGTTCTAAATGATTTTGTCGCAGTTGCTCAAATATATCGGATGGAAGATCCGGTTTTTGCGATTGCGGACCGTAATAACGATCTGTTC